TGTGTGTAAGTTTATGAAATTAAATTCATAGCATGCTTAGTGTTTTTTGAATATCTGAATGTGTCTTATTTCGGTTGCAATAATTCTGTACACATCACACTAAAGCATAGTCCACATATAATCTGAAATTGGAATAATAGGACAGTGAACTTTGTGACATACCGTTGACTAAATAATCATTGAGATATACCTGTTTTATCATAACTTGTGAACAATTTCACACTCCTGCACAATATGAACTCTAAGGTAGATGTCCAAATGTGGGATGGCAAAGGAGACTTTAGTCTCTGGCGTCAAAAAATTAAAGCACTATTGTTACAGTTAAAATGTGCTAAGGCTATTGATGAATCTTGGCTAGAAACCTTATCTGAAGGTAGGAAAACTGAGCAAGATGAATTAGCCTGGAGCACTTTGTTCCTACACCTGTCTGATACTGTAATTAGGAAAGTAGGAGAAACTAAAACTGCTGAAGAATTATGGACTGCCTTAGAAAAACACTACCTTACAAAGACTGTGCCAAATAAATGTTTTCTTTGGAGACAGTTTTTTAGTTTTAAGTTTGATCCTAATCTTGATACGGGAGATAATATGGATAGGTTTAATAGGATCACACAGGACTTAGCAAACTGTGATGAGAAAATTTCTGATGAACAGAAGGTAGTTGGCCTACTTAATACTCTAGGAGATAAATATAAAGATATTAGAAATGCTTTAGAGTATGGTAGGAGTGATCTCACTGTTGAAATAATTCACAGTTCTCTTCTGAATAAAGAACTTGAATTAAAATCTGAACACAAAGAAGTGTACCATGTTGAGGGTATGTCATCAAATCAAAAATCATATCCTAAAGGAGTAAGTAACTTCAGTCATTCCAATTTTAACAGGAATAAAACCTTTAACAAAAGGCAGTGGAATAACACCAAGGGAAAAGACAAAAAACCAATCAAAGGAAAATAAAACAGCAACAATAATAGAAAATGCTTTTATTGTGGAAAGACATGCCACTTTATTAAAGACTATTTTAAAAGGGCAAATGACCAAAAGAATGGGTCTAACACTGAAAATGCTTCTTCAGCTGCTGCTGCTAATTATAAAGAAGCAGGAGCTAATATTGGAGTAGCCTATGTATCTCCATCTGAAGATACTGATCAGGACTGGGTCCTGGAATCAGGGTGTTCCTTTCATATGACACCCAATATTAACTACATTTCAGATTTTTGTAGTCTAGATGGAGGATTTGTAAAACTTGGGAATGATGAGTCATGCCAAGTTAAGGGAATTGGAAATGTGCTGTTGAAATTTAAAAATGGTCATCACAAGTTATTAAAACATACAAGATATGTACCAGCACTTAGAAGAAATCTCATATTCCGGGGAGTTCTTGATGATGAAAATTACCAAATTGGTATTAAAAATGGTTTTACAAATATAACAAGAAATCAAGAACACATTGTCAGATCTTCTAAGCTCAATGGAATCTATGTAATAGGTGCTGAAACCATTTCACCAAAAATTTCTATGAATTCTGTCACACAACCCGATAAATTAGAACTGTGGCATAAAAGACTTGGCCACTTAAGTGAAAAAGGTCTAAAAACACTATCATGTCAAGGGGCTTTTGGAAAAGATAGTGTTCAGAAATTGACCTTTCGTGAACACTGTATCATGGGAAAACAGGTCAGATTGCCTTTTAAGGTAGGGCTGCACAAATTTCAAGATGTTCTTGAATACATACATTCTGATTTATGGGGACCTGCACCTGTTTCTATTGTATCTGGTTACAGATATTATCTTCTTACAACCGATGACTATTCAAGAAAGACATGAATTTTCTTACTAAAATCTAAATCTGATACTTTTGCAATTTTCAAAGAATGGAGTGTTTTAATTGAAAATCAGATTAGTAAGAAGATAAAGATTTTAAGAACTGATAATGGTCTTGAATTCTGCAATACTGAATATGATCAATATTGTAGTAAACAAGGGATAATGAGACATAAAACTGTAAGCTATACTCCACAATAAAATGGAGTTGCCGAGAGGTTAAATAGAACAATTCTTGAAAGGACCAGATGTATGCTAATCAGTTCTGGCCTTCCAAAATTTTTCTGGGGTGAAGCTGTAAAAATAGCATGTTATCATATAAATAGATGCCCCTCCAGCTCTCTAAATAATAGAATTCCTCAACAAATCTGGTCTGGTTCAATGCCAGATTATTCTCATCTAAGAACTTTTGGATGTGCAGCCTATGCACACCATACTGAGTCAAAATTGGACCCTAGATCATTGAAGGGTGTGCTCTTAGGATATGGAGAAGGTGTTAAAGGCTATAGATTGTGGTTAAGAGATGTAAGGGGTTATAAGGTAATAACAAGCAGATCTGTTATCTTTAATGAAGATGATTTCCCTTGTCTTAGTGACAAATCTAGTGAGAAATTGGGAAAAGATGACTTCATTATCACAGAAATTAATTATGATAGCCACAATACTGTTGACCAGGCTCAGTTTGAGATGAAGCCACATCAGGCAGTATCCCAAAATAACTCAGATGTTGAAATAATTGAAGATGAACAGCATCTGGAGCCTGCACATGATCTGCAAGGCTATTAGCTTGCCAGGGATAGAGAAATGAGGGAAATAAGACCTCCACCCAGGTATCAACATGCTGATTTTGCATTTGATCAGACTGAATCTGATCAGTTTGACTTAGAACCAGTCTCTTATGAAGAAGCTATATCTTCCAAAGAATCTCCTAAGTGGATTGCTGCTATGGAAGATGAAATGAATTCACTCTTTAAAAATGAGACTTGGACTCTAGTTGATAAGCCCAAAGATTGCAAACTAATTGATTGTAAATGGGTTTATAAAATTAAAGAGGGTGAGACTAAAGCTAGTGATAAAAGATTTAAGGCAAGACTGATAGCTAAATGCTTTAACCAAAGGGAAGGAATAGATTACACTGAAATTTTTTCACCAGTTGTTAAATATACATCCATTAGAGTCCTACTTGCTATAGTGACACAATTTGACTTGGAGTTAGAACAACTCGATGTGAAAACTGCCTTCTTGTATGGCTCTTTAGATGAAACCATACATATGACTCAACCAAGAGGGTTTGAAGTGGAAGGAAAGGGAAACTTAGTGTGTCTCTTAAAGAAATCCTTATATGGCCTAAAACAGGCTCCTAGGCAGTGGTATAAAAGATTTGACTCTTTTATACAAGGCTTGAACTTTAGGAAATCAGAATCTGATCCCTGTTTCTATTAGAAGAAAGAAGGGGAATCTGATTTTTTCTATCTGTTTTTGTATGTTGATGATATGCTCCTTACTGGTCACAATTCTATTGCACTAAATTCAATTAAAGAAAATCTGAAATTTGAATTTGAAATAAAAGATTTAGGACCAGTTAGAAAGATTTTGGGCATGGAAATAAAAAAAGATAGGATAAATGGAAAGTTGTTTCTAACACAAAAATCTTATATTGATAAGGTTGTAAAAATGTTCTCCCTTCATGAGTCTAAGCCTATAAGTTTGCCTCTATCTGCTGGTATGAAACTATCTATTGATCAATCGCCTAAAACTGAAGAAGAGCATAAAAGAACGATAAATGTGCCTTATTCTAATGCTGTTGGATCTGTAATGTATGTCATGGTTTGCTCTAGGTCTGATATAGCTTATGCCGTGAGTGTGTTAAGTAGATTTATGAGTAACCCAGGTGAAATACATTGGCAATGCATGAAAAATCTGATTAAGTACTTGAAAGGAACAAGTAACTTAGGTCTAATGTTCAAAACAAATAAAAATGGATTTAGACTTAAGGGATATGTAGATTCAGATTTTGCTGGTAATCTAGACAATAGGAAGTCCACAATTGCATACTTTTATGTGATAAATGATACATGCATTAGCTGGAAATCTCAGCTTCAAAAACTTGTTGCATTGTCCTCAACCGAGGCTGAATATATCGCTGTAACAGAAGCTGTGAAAGAGGGATTGTGGCTGAAGGGTTTGCTTAATGAATTAGGTCTTATAGAAAATCAGGTGGAGCTATGTTCAGACAATCAAAGTGCTATTTTTCTAAGTAAAAATCCTATCCTGCATGATAGATCAAAGCATATAGATGTAAAGTTCCATTTTATTAGAGATATCATTGATACGGGTGATATTAGATTAATCAAAATACCTACAAAGGTAAATCCAGCAGATGCTGGAACTAAGGTAATCCCTATTAGTAAGTTTCTTGATTCTTTAAGATTAATAAATCTTGAAGAAAACTGATTCTCGTTATTTTTGTTTTTACAAGTAATAAGAGCAAATGAAATGAAGTCGAGTTTTGAATCCACAAGAACATGCACAAAAGACAGCAAAGATGGAGAATGTAGAAGTTGGGTTGTTGCCATTTGTGAAGCCCAAGTTAATATCCACGACCCATGACCCGGTTAAATGGCCCAACTGGTTGAATTATCTGGAAGCTTAATTGCATAAAGGAAAAACAAGTTTTCTGTTTTGAGAAAAACGACTCTCACATGATCGTGACACCTGGCAATCTCTGGACCATTGGATCAAATGATTTGATTATTTCATATAAAAGATCAACAATTCTAGGGTTAGGGTTGGCTCTCATTTTACGCAGCTTTCGTTTTCTTTTCGTTTTGAGTTGAAAACTCTCTCTGAATTTTTGGCTCTCTCGTCTTGAATCTTGTTGATTCTTTTTGTTGGTTGAGAGTAGACGTGATGCTATGAACTCTTGTGTGAGTTCTTTGTATTGTTGAGAAGATTGTTGTCGTAGTGGCTGGAACTGTGTGTTCCTTCTGTGATTCGAAAACTGCTGTAATTTGGCCGGTGTGTTTTGTTCTAGTAGATTCGAGCTTATTCCTTCGTGGATGCTCAACGGGGATTAGGCGATTTTGACAAATCGCTGAACCTCGAGGCTTCGGCCAAAAATCGCTTGTGTTTTTCTTTACTGTTTTCAGATCTACAAATCTTGATCCTTAGTCTTGCTATTTTTGATGTTTTGAAACGGTTCTAGGGTTCCTACATGCAGATTTATCGTCTAGCCATTGCATATATAGTGGCTTCTCCATGGCAGCCATAGAAGTTGACTTAGCTAAACAGAGTGGCCCAACACACCCAGCTTTTGGCCCCATTTTATGATTCCAATAATCAACATAGCTTGACTCTAGCTCATAAAAACTGTTGACAATTAAGCTATGACTTTTCACCTTGGCAAGGATTTGCTCTTCCACGAAGTCCACCCATTCTCCAGTGGGTCCAATCTTACCGAAAGGTGGATCAAAGTCATTTCTTGTCAACATCAACTTGGGAAAATCAGGAATCAGAAAGGGACTATCTGGCGAAACTGCTTCGGCATGTGGCCTATCATTTCCCATTATTTGACACTGGGTGGTGGAAAAAATTCCCATGCCGGAAAAAACCAGCCTTGGAATACCGAATTTTACTGCAGATTGTTGAGTCTAACCAAGAAATATATCAGAGATTATGCAGGAAACAGGCTGAAGATTTTGAATGGAGTTTTCAAAATCATGCTGCATATTTTGTTGTAGCAATAGCAAAAGGGATAAAACAAGCCATGGATGGAAATTTATCAGTGTTTTCAACTCCATGAGGTACCCCATCTATTTTTTGTGGAAACGGGAGTTCAACAAGTTTAATATCACTGTCCTGAAGAATAGCCCGAATGCATGGAGAGTTTTCGACGGTGGTGAAAATTGTGACAGCAATAGAACGTTGCCGGAGGAGGCGGCCGAGATAGAGAAGAAGGATGGTGTGGCCTTGAGACATGAAAGGGAAAATAATGAAATGAGGGACTGAAATTAGAGCCATTTTTTTTCCAAGCTTGAGTATTTTTTAGCAAGATTTCTTGTCCTTTTTATAACCATTCTGAGAGTCTCTTGGGTGGCCAGTTAAGCAGTTTGGACGAAGCTTGACGTACAGAATCCCCCAACCACTCACATGATCATTTGGGGGGGGGGGTAGGTTTTTGGCCAGTTCGTTTTTCAATAAAGCTTATACACCATGGTGTACAATTCTGTCACAATGTGAGGGGTCCCACATGAATATTATATTTGTGGGCCCTCTCATTGTGAGAGAGGTATTGCTGTACACTCAACACAATTGTTCCTTTTTATACAAGTGGATCCTGCATGGGGACCTACTTGTTGAGAGGCAGTTTAGTGAGAGCAAGACAGATTGGAAGAGCATGTTTGGCTGGTGTGGCCTTGAGACATGAAAGAGAAATAATGAAATGGGGGACTAAAATTAGAGCCATTTTTTTTTGAAACTTTAGTATTTTTTTGTAAGATTTCTTGTCCTTTTTATAACCATTCTGAGAGTCTCTTGGCGGCCAATTAAGTAGTTTGAACGAAGCTTGCCGTACATAATCCCCCAACCACTCACATGATCATTTGGGATAGGTATTTGGCCAATTCATTTTTCAATAAAGTTTCTTGTAAACCATGGTGTACAGTCATCTCATAATGTGAGTGGGCACACATGAATATTATATTTGTAAACCCTCTCATTGTGAGAGGGATGTATGGGTGTACAACAATAAGTGCTGTACACTCAACGCAACTGTTCCTTTTTATACAAATGGGTCCTGCATGGGGACCTACCTGCTGAGAGGCAGTTTAGTGAGAGCAAGATAGATTGGAAGAGCATGTTTGGCTAGTGTGGCCTTAAGACATGAAAGGGAAAATAATGAAATGGAGGACTGAAATTAGAGCCTTTTTTTTTTCCAAGCTTGAGTATTTTTTTGCAAGATTTCTTGTCCTTTTTATAACCATTCTGAGAGTCTCTTGGGCGGCCAGTTAAGCAGTTTGGACGAATCTTGTCGTACAGAATCCCCCAACCACTCACATGATCATTGGGGGTGGGTTTTTGGCCAATTCATTTCTCAATAAAACTTCTTATACACCATGGTGTACAATTCTCTCACAATGTGAGGGGTCCCACATGAATATTATATTTGTGGACCCTCTCATTGTGAGAGAGGTATTGCTGTACACCCATCACGACTGTTCCTTTTTATACAAGTGGGTCCTGCATGAGGACCTATTTGCTGAGAGGCAGTTTAGTGAGAGCAAGACAGACTGGAAGAGCATGTTTGGCTGGTGTGGCCTTGAGACATGAAAGGGAAAATAATGAAATGGGGGATTGAAATTAGAGCCATTTTTTTTTGAAGCTTCAGTATTTTTTTGCAAGATTTCTTGTCCTTTTTATAACAATTCTGAGAGTCTCTTGGGCGGCTAGTTAAACAGTTTGGACAAAGCTTGTTGCACAAAATCCCCCAGCCACTTACATGATCATTGGGGGTGGGTTTTTGGCCAATTCATTTTTCAATAAAACTTTTTGTACACAATGGTGTACAATCCTCTCATAATGTGAGGGGGCCCACATGAATATTATATTTGTGGACCTCTCATTGTGAGAGGTGTGTATGCGTGTACAACAATAAGTGCTGTACACCCAACACAACTGTTCCTTTTTATACAAGTGGGTCCTGCATGGGGACCTACTTGCTGAGAGGCAATTTAGTGAGAGCAAGACATATTGGAAGAGCATGTTTGGCTAGTGTGGCCTTAAGACATGAAAGGGAAAATAGTGAAGTGGGGGACTAAAATTAGAGCCATTTTTTTCCAAGCTTAAGTTTTTTTTGAAAGATTTCTTGTCCTTTTTATAACCATTCTGAGAGTCTCTTGGGCGACCAGTTAAGCAGTTTGGACGAAGCTTGTTGTACAGAATCCCACAACCACTCACGTGATCATTGGGTGGGTTTTTTGGCCAATTCGTTTTTCAATAAAGCTTCTTGTACACCATGGTGTACAATACTCTCGCAATGTAAGGGGTATCACATGAATATTATATTTGTGGACCCCCTCATTGTGAGAGGGGTATTGCTGTACACCCAAGACAACTGTTCCTTTTTATAAAAATGGGTCTTGCATGGGAACCTACTTGCTGAGAGGCAGTTTAGTGAGAGCAAGACAGACTGGAAGAGCATGTTTGGTTGGGATTTTAAAAGATTATAATGAGATTTTAATATCTTAAATTTGAATAGATATTTATAAAACTTAGGATGTGTTTGATTGCAAGCATGTAATTTGCATCGAAAGTTTTAGATAGTTCAATTGCCTAAAACATATTTGTGTGAAAATTATCAATTAAATGCATTTGATTAATTTAATTTTCAACGTATAAAATATTATACTTGTCCAATTTTTATTGGTGGGTAGAAGAGAGAGAGAGAGAGAGTTGATATATGAAAGAGAGTGAATTTTCTGGAAAATAAAATCCTACTCCTCCTAAAGAAAATATTTTCCTTGATTTTGAGGAAAATATAGTTACGTGACCAGAAGTAGGAAAATATTTTTCATAAAAAAGAATCAGTCAAATAGTACAAAAGTATGAATTTTGATGAAAAATATACATTTTTCAAAGAAAATATTGGCAATCGAACGCACCCTTATAAGAATCTCAAAAAGTGTGAGATTTCAAAAGAGTTTATTATCTGTATTTTAAAGCTGTAAACCCATCTAAATTTCTCAAAAATTCATTTATTAATGAAATCTTATCAATCCACGAATTATTGGATACATAGATTTTAATAAATTTTAAGATAATCCATTAAATTTTGTAATGGTGACATCAAAATTTACAAGGTCATTGAAAATCCACTAAATTTCCAATCGAGAACATCCCCTAAACTTAGACCGTGTATATGATAACATATAAGTAAAAATAAAAACACAAAAGATATTTAAAATCAAAATATTAGGTTGTATTGTTTTTATATAATTCAAAATTTATATTATACAGTGTTAATATGATATAACAAGATTAACCATTATTAAGAAATAGCTACGAATGACAATTTTATGAATAATTTAATAAGACATTTAAATAACAGTAGCCAAATCTCAATTGCCTCTATTTACTATTATCAACAATGAAAGTCGGCGCGATAACAACTGCCCTTCAAAAAATGCTTATTGTACATCAACATTTACATAATTTTTTAGAGATCGATGATGTGTTAAAATGAAAATGAGGTTTTTTATTTTTATTTTTTTAAGTTGACGAGATTTTAATCCAATTAAATATTGCCACATTATTTGTTGATAAACTATCTGTAAGTTGTGATTTACATGTAATACAATCATCGCCTTGTACAATTGTATAATTTATAAAATTTTGACATTTAAATTAACTGAATGATAAAGAAGCTTATGCATTTTTTATTGCACTGCATAAGACGACATTGTATAGTAATAATAATCTTGTCATTTTTGCCCCCAGGGCATATCTCCCAGTGGCAAAGGGGAGGGCGGATAGGGCTCAGCGCGGCAGTGTGCAGAGTTCGATTCCCCGTAAGGTGGAATTGGCTTTGTTGCAAGCGGGAGTTACCATATGGGTTAACAGCCTTGGCCTATCCATGTGCTCTCCCCCCTGACTCCTGGGAGGTACATCCTGCGATTTACCTCCTCCACGATGGTCCAGGGCAGGGTCGGTGGGGGCCCTTAAGGTTGGGGTTCAACCTTTTTAATAATCTTGTCATTTTCAGCAGCGACCCAAATAATAGAGGCTGACCTTCTCTCAAACAATTTATGTATAGGATTTTACCCAGAGCATAGTTTAGTGGTGCAAAAGACAGGAGTGATGTTATCTCACCCATTGCTAGCAGTCGCAGTATGAGGGTTCGATTCTTGAAACATGAAATTGGACTCCTTGTAAGCGCAGTGTACATGTAACTCTTGTTCCCTGACCTGTTGGGGCACATCCCACGATTTACCTCCCTCACAAAACTTTAAAGACGTGGCGGTGGAGGCCCTTAAAGTTGAGGTTCAACCCTTTTTTTTTTACCCCTTGTACATTGAGTTGTGAAGTATACTCCCCTCACACAAGGGGGGGGGGGGGCAAGCCCAATTAATGCTCGGGCCCCACTCCCATGTGAGGAGGCTGTACACCAAGCCTTACGACTCTGTGTACATGTAGAACCCTTCGTATGTATATATTTTGTGGGGCCTGCTTGGGGTATAGGGGTTGACAACCTATCAAGGGGGTCAGCTCAACCCCTCTGGCCCCTTTACAAAGGGCCTTACACATATTTTGTAGACTTCAACAGTGTAATTACATTTATATATAGAAGGGGGGCAATCAAATATTTTTCATCGAAGGATAAAAAATTAAATTATAAACAAATAAAAATTCAGAACATCTTTTTTCTCTTGAATGCTCATTTACGTTAGTATTTTGCTTGTCACTCGAAAATGGAGATTTTCTTTTATAATATTTTTTGATAATTGTTTCGCAAGAAATTCAATATATAAATGAATCCTAATTTACTCGGAATAATAATTTCAACCATAAAAATACAATCAATTTCAACAGCCAAATCATGATGAAGTCTCAACATTCAAAGTGAGATCAAAATCAAAACTTGACATTTACATATATTTTTTCCGTTAAGAATTTTACTGTTAATGGATATAAATATTAAAAAATGCATCTAGTCTAGATATAACAGACCTAATAATGCATGAAAACTATAGAATCAGATCTTAATTTATTGAGATAAAACAGGAACCCGATTTTATAACAACCAATTCTAGCTATATAACAAATAAGCAGGAAAATAAATTATTTCTAAATTTGACCTAGCAAAAGGTATATATTTCAAAAATTTACTCGGATCTATGGGTCAGCTGACCCCACAAGACTTCATGTAAATTCGTCTATCTATATACACACAAATACGTATAGACTATAGTTGAGGGTCAAAACATGGGCATACAACATGATGGTAACTAATCAAGATAGATTTCTCGTGTATGTTCATCTTCGATGACTCGTGGCTAGCAACATAAGAAGTACGAGCATGAATACACGATATATATATGACTTTAGGTAAATAATTAAAAAAAAAAAGTAAAATGTAAATATTTCGAAGACATATCGATGTGAGTTCTTTAAAATTATGTATTCATTTTCATTCCTTTTAAATTTTCAATAAAACAAATACTTTTATAATAGTGTAATCTTTACATGGCGAATGTGTTTACAAGTTTTTTAAGCTCATGTTTGGTAAAGATTAAGATTAAGATTTAAATTTAAGCCCATGTTTGGTAAAGATTAAGATTAAGATATATATTTAAATCAAAGTCAATAATCAATTTTAATCACATATTTCATGAGACTAGCAGTAAGCACGTACGTTGCACATTTTATATGCGGAATGAATGATATACATAATACTTTTAAAATAAGGCAATTGTTAGTGTTAAAGGAAAAAAATTTATTATGAAAGAATATACATATAAATAAAAGTTTTATGAAAGTTACGCACATAAAGTGAAAATATTGAATAAATTGAAATGCAATTATTTGTTTATGCTAGACTTTGGTTGGACCCCTATTTTCAACTATTACGAGTACATCGCCCAATTTTGTAGTATAGACAGACACGAAAAAAATTCAAATTAAAAGATGTACATTCAATTAAGTTTAAAATGTTTACGTATAAGTAAACTAAAGGTACGTAAATAATTTTCAAATTAAAAAAATTACTCATTCTATCTGTACCGTAACTTTTTTTTATCTAAAAATAAAACAAAAAATGTATATTATCTAAACATATTTAAAAATAAAAAATTACATATTAATAATGCTCATCATATTAATCCATAGCATTTATTTTAAATAAGAAACCAAATTTATATTCAAAATAGATAGATTAATGATAGAGTTCATTTTTCATATTGGAGTACTCATAATTTTGGATTAACTAAATTAAGTTTAATCGCTTAAAATCAAAGCTCGTCTACATATATAATCATATTAAAAATATAATAAATATTATTTTATATGATAATTAATCTAGCATTATATTAATGCAACCTTTAATATATTTTATTATATAATTATAATAAAATTACATCTATAATATGTGTGCTTAGTTCTTAAAGTGGTAAATTTAATTTAAACAATGTAAGTAATTAAACTTAATTTAATTAATGTAAATTTTTAAGTACTGCAATATAAAATAAATATTACAATTAGTGGATATTAAATGAAGTAAAATTATATTAAATTGTACTATATTAAATATATAAGGGTAGAATTGGCATGTAGCTAAAAATATAAGGGATTTTTATTAAGAGCATTAATTCAATTTATTCAACGTGAGAAATTGAAAAATGGATATTGTTTAAGGAACTCAAATGATGGCCTTAAATAACCATTTATAAAAATTAAAAAATATTTTTGAATTTAATTAATAGCATCACACTTAAATGGATATTAAATGAAGTTAAATTATGTTAAATGGTACTATATTAAATATATAACAGTAGAACTGACATATAACTAAATATGTAAGGGTAAAATTGGTATTCAAAAGTTTCTTCTCAATCTACACTTCTAATTTATATTAAATGGTACTATATTAAATATATAAAGGTAGAATTGATATATAAATAATAACTAAATATGTAAAGGTAAAATTGGTATTCAAAAGTTTCTCCTCAATCCACACTTTTAATATATTATAGATTTACAATTTTCAATTACATATTTCATCAATTTTTATTAAATTAAAATTTAAACCCGGGGCTAAATAACTTTAAGGTTAAGTTATATATTCTTGTTTTAATTATGTATCCTAATATATCTAAAAGTGAGAATTGTCACCAAGGTACCGAACCTTTCATTTAGTAGCAATCTTAATTCAAAACTTTCATTAGTGCCATTGTAGGTACCAAATCTTTAAAAAGATTCAAAAATTGATGAAAACTGACCTTGAGGCCATTGATTGACCAAAAAATGGAATTTTTTTTAATTTTTTTTTAACCAAATAAGGAAAGGGTACTTGAGTCAAAACACATTTACCCGTCTATAAATTTATTCTCTTTCTTTTTAAGTTCTGCCCACCTCTTCCTTCCATCACAGAAACCAAACCAAAGTTCACCCATCTTGCCGACGACCAACACCGGCATCACGCCACCACCGCACGTCGTACCCTTCTTCTTTCCCACTAGATTCTTCCATAATAGCGATGTTTCGCTAGAAAAAGGGAAGCAATAGACAAAGTAATCTTCATTGAGCTCCATGACTCATCGGGGATTCCAATCCACATCGTGGCTCCATCGCTGCACAGACCTCAGAGTCAAATAAAAGCTCACAGATAGCTGATGGTTTTGATTGAAATTACTAGAAATCAAACTAGAAGCAAAATTAGAAACTGGTTTTTTGGGATAGAGAAGAGATGAGCCTTTTACTAGTATTACTAATATTGGAAGAATTGAGGAGGCTTTTATGAGAAGTGTTGTCGTGAAGTAGAATTACCAGGAGTCAGAAATTGAACGAATTTGATTGTGAATCTTTTTTTAATACTGATCTTTACACTTCATTTGCCTTTTATACACTGGGGATTTATACAAGCATTTACATACAAAATGAATATTCTAATTCCACTAACTTCTGCCATGTGACATAACCGTATTTGTTCCACCATGCACATCAAATTCAGTTAGTCAGCTCCCCTTTGCTATTATGTTGGTTCGAATATTCTAACACCCCCCTCAAGGTGGAGTGTGTTTCTACTACTCCAAGCTTGTCTCTAAGGAACAAGAATCTTGAGTGAGCAAGTGATTTTGTTAGCAAGTCTACTGTATGATCTAATGATGGCACATAATTAATTTTCAATTCCCCTCTAAGAACCTTGTCTCTCACAAAATGAATATCGAGCTCTATATGCTTGGTACGTACATGGTAAACTGGGTTTGAAGCCAATGATCATACTAGATTATTGGGATAATCCTCTGTTGTATTCTTAACTTATTCATCAAGGATTGAATCCATGTAATCTCTGACGCACTATGAGTCAATGCCCTGTACTCTGTCTCTGTTCTTGACCTTGCAACCACATGTTGCTTTTTCGAACACCAGGACACCAAGTTATCTCCAAGATATACACAATAACCTGTAGTAGATCTTCTACATCTGGGCATGATGCCCAATCAGAATCTGCAAATGTTGTTATGTCCAGGTTATCACTCTTTTGAATGGCAAGGCCATGTTTTAGTGTTCCTTTCAGGTATCTAAATACTCTTGTGAGTGCCTTCCAGTGAGCATCGGTTGGCGTTCGAAAAAATGGCTCATTTTATTAACGGAATAAGCGAGACCAGGTCTTGTATAAGCTAAATACTGGAGGCCACCGATAGTACTTCTGTTCAAGGTTGGATTTTCCAAAGCCCGTCCCTCAGTCTTAGATATTTACTTCCCAGCTGCCATGGGTGTCAAGCTTGGTTTTAGATTTTCATACCCAAATATTTGAGTAGGTCAATAGTATATTTTGTGTGAGTCAAATATAGTCCTGCTTTGTCTCTAAACACTTCTATACCCAAGAACCGGCTGAGGTTTTCTATATCCTCGAGAACAAAGTTTGTGTTCAGATTATCAATAAACTCTTGTAATTGCTGATTGTTGCTTCCTGTCATCACTATATCATCCACGTAAACAAGTGAGTTATTTGCCTTGGACTATTTAAAGTTCCATTTCAACGGGGTACTTTTTAGCCTTTCATGCCATGCCCTTGGCGCCTGCCTTAATCTATGTAATGCCTTCTCCAATTTGCACACAAAGTTGGGATTTCTTCCATATACAAATCCTTCTAGTTGATGCATGTATAGCACCTCATTTAGCTTACCATTCAGAAAGGCATTATTCACATCTACCTGCCTAATATTCCTTTTCTTTGATACAACAAGTGTTAGGATGATCTTCTATGTCGATGCTTTGATAAAAGGTCTCACCAAAATCTACTCCAGGTGTTTGTAGGAACCCTTTGGCAACCAACCTAGCTTTATGCCTTTGTACTTTGTCCTCTGAATCACGCTTCAACTTGAACACCCATTTGCTTCCAATTATCTTCATTCCAACTTCATGAGGTAATAATGTCCAAGTTTTGTTTCATCAGGGCATTATATTCCTCATGCATTGCATTTCTCCAATTGTCATTTAGCATTGCATAACTAACAGTTACTGGTTCAGTTTCTGTTGATTTGTCCATTCTTTGGCTTGTGTAAATCTTTGGTTTGAAAATTCCCGCCTTGCTTCTAGTGACTATATGATGTCCATCAGTTTGTTTTGCAATTTGATCATCAACATCAGCTTCATTTTCAGTGTATTCAGTTCCACATTCATTCCGTTGAACATCATCAACCACCTGATCAACTGATTCATTCTAATTTACTTCAGTACTGTTGTTTTCTTCACCTACCTCAACTCCTACTCTAGGATCTAGTTCTCTACCAGAGGAGCCTACTGCAGTTGATGCACTGGGATAGATTATATCAGATGTACCTTGAGGTATTATTTTATGACTGGACTCAATGTTAAATGGAAGTAGACTTATGATAGATTCTGAGGTTTGTGGTTGAGTCAGTTTTTTTAAGAATCCTGACTTGAAAGGAAAATCTAGTTCATTGAATATGACATGTCCAGATATATAAATTCTACCACTAGAGCTTAGGCACTTAAATCCTTTGTGTGAATCACCATAGCTAAGAAAGGTGCATTTTTGTGAGTGGAAATCAAGTTTGTGTTTCTGGTATGGTCTAAGGTAAGGGTAACAAGCACATCCAAAAATTTTGAGTGTTTTGTAATCAAAGTTTCTTCCATACAGCACTTGAAAGGGAGATTTGTACTGTAATATAGGTGTGGGTAGTCTGTTGATCAAGTATGTTGCTGTTTTGAAGGACTCCTCCCAGTAGTGTAAGGAAATTTGAGCCTGAGCCAAGAGTGCTAGGCCGGTCTCAGTGATGTGCCTATGTTTCCTCTCTGCCCTACCAGTTTACACAGAAGTATAAGGGCAAGAATGTCTAAGTTCAATTCCAGATTCCAAGGTAATTTTATAAAAGTTCCTGAGCTCACCTCCCCAATTAGATTGTAAGGTTTTAATCTTTCTCTCAAGCTTATTTTCAACCAAATTTTTGAATTTTGTAAAGATGCTTAGTGCCTCAGATTTGTGTTTCATGGGGGTAGATCCAAGTAAACTTGCTATGATCATCCACAAAATGATATAATACCTAAACCTTGAGGTAGAATTGGGAGCTGGTCCTCAGATGTCTGTATAGATTAGGTCCAAAGGATTTATTGAATGTGATGAGGACATGTGAAATGGCAATGCATGGGATTTGCCAAGTTGACATGGTTCACAGAAAGCTAGAATTTCATTAACTTTGGTGGATTTATTACAAGATTTCAGGACTTGACTTAACACATGATTTGATGGATGACCTAGCCTTCTATACCATATATCAACTTTAGACTCTAACTTGACTCCTTTGGTTGACTCATCACAACTAGAATTCACCGTGATGCAGCTGGAATTATTCTGGTGGTTTTACTTTGGGTTTGGTACCTTCAGCTGATATAAAGCATCCTTAAGCATCCCTTGCAGCAGGGTCTTCCTAGTTTTTAGATCCTTCACAGCACAATGGTCAGGAAAGAACTCAATGAACACATTGCTATCATATGTAACCTGAGATACACTGATTAAGTTATTTTTTATTTCAGGCACATGTAGCAGTTTATTCAGTGTAAGAGTGTTATCTATTGCAAAAATACTTCCTTTCTCAATTTTGCAATTTCTAATGAGTTTCCATTACCAACAAGATATTTCTCCTTACCATTATATTTCTTAGCTATGTCCATGTTACCTTTGTCTGTTGTAACATGGTTGCTAGCACCAAAATCAGCAAACCATGCTGGATCTTCAATGATTCTTGGTGCAGCAGCATATGTAGAAGTTGATGTACTGGCCTGATGGTTTTGACTACTAGGTCTGCTCCCCATGTATCTGTCATCATACCTATTAAAACACCAACTAGCTGAGTGGATATTTAGTCCACAGATTTGACATGGTCCTTGATTTTCACTTGTCTTGCCTACTCTTCCTCTGCCTCTTGTTCTTCCTCTGAAGTTTGTGTACCTTCTACCACTTCCAGCTCTGAAGGTTCTACCACCACCTGATCCAGACCTTTGAGCCAACTATACACTTGAATGACTGACATTCAAAGATGCTAAGCCATTCTTGACTTGATTAAGACATTCAAGCCTGCTTTCGAAGGTCATAAGAACTGATGATAGCTCATACCACAAAATATCATCCCTGCTGTTAATTTGCACCACAATGGGTATGTATTCTTCATCAAGTCCTGCAAGAACATGGGTTACAAGATCACTATGATCTACCTTTTTTTCCTGCTATTTGCAGGTTATCAGCTAACTGCTTAATGGTGGTAAGGTACTGATCCATAGTCATAGAACCTTTTCTAGGTCTCTGCAACTCCCTAGTGAGGAACGTCACCCTTGATCTATTCAATATTCCATAACTTTCTTTGACTACATTCCACAAACTGCTTGAGCTAGTGCATCCCATGACCCTCATAGCATTTCAGGGTTCATGGATGAATACAACCACCCCATGAGTAACTGATCAGTTGACATCCATCTACTGTAATCTGGATTTTGGGTCACTTTTATGGCTTCTCCTGCTTCAGTAATAGTCTGGGTACTAAGGAGCTCGGGTGGACATTGTTTTGCTCTAGGAAGTAGCCTTCAAGATTGTGGCCTTTGATTATAGGCATAACCATGTTTTGTCATAAGAGAAAGTTGTTTTTGTCAAGCTTTACTGATGGAGTTTGAGTGAGATTCATCCCAAAGGGTGAAGACTAACCCACAATAACTTTTGTGGATGATGAAGGATTTAACTCGGTTGAAGGAGCTTGAACATTGGAATCGGTGCTAGCCATTTTTGCTCTGATACCAAGTTAGAAATTGAACGAATTTGATTGAGAATTTTTTTTAATACTGGTCTTTACACTTCATATGTCTTTTATACATAGGGGATCTATACAAGCATTTACATACAAAACGAATATTCTAATTTCACTAACTTCTACCATGTGACATAATCATATTTGTTCCACTATGCACAACAAATTCAGTTAGTCAGCTCCCCTTTGCTGTTATGTTGGTTCGAATATTCTAACACCAGGTTTTGAGGTCCAATTCCTTCCAACAATCGGTTTTGATTTTGCCTTTT